AATGAAATGGCTTTCAATAAAACCGTTTCATCTTACACAAAAGTGGGCTAGAATAACAATCCCGCAAACATATACATCTCCCGGATTCAATATTTTTCAACGTTTTGCTATATTTGCTTTCTTCATCCCCTCCTTTTGTGGTGGCCGAAATATTTTAAAGCAGTTAGTAAACTTCTCATAGCATCTCAGTCCTATATGACTGAGAGAGAGAGAGAAACATCGATGTGAGAGAGACACATCAATTGGTTCCCTCCCGTAGCCCTGGGGCAGGGGATTGAGCCTGCAGCTGAGGTACGTGCCCTTGACTGAAATCGAACCTGGGACCCCTTGGGTCCGCAGGCCGACGTTCTATCCACTGAGCCACCCCAGCCAGGGTCTTACAGTCTCACAATCAGAGAACTGGATTCCCTGGAGCCTCTGGATAAGACCTCAGCTCGCCAGCACCCAAAGGAGCCCACCTGGACTCTTGCGATAAAGAATGGGGGTTGTTGACAAGTCCCGGCGCTCCTGGTAATTTAATCCCTGGCAACAGAAAACTAATACAGGGGGGGGGGGGGTGTCTTAATTATTTTGTTTTTAATTGCCACTTTTCAGAATAGAAGACTGAGAGCTGCATTTATCCTTCTTCTCATTCTTCCATAGAGATTACGTCCTAATGTTTATTAATTAAGTTGGTTCCTAATTGGCTGCCAGTGAAATTTACACATTTAGGTAATGACACAATATTCTTGCTTTGGCTCATTGAAAGAACAGCCTTCAAGGGATCCTGGTTATTGAATAGACAATAAAGTCAGCTTGTCAGCGGTGGCTAAGGTGATTCTGTTACAGGTTTCTTCTAGAATATACGTACATGGGAACGGTCGCTTCCCCCTCTGCCAGGGAGGCACATGGCTTTTGATAGGTTCCATCTGTCTGTGGGCAATCTATTTAGCTTCTCTGTCTGCGAACCTCTCCCATTAGAGGAGGATGTTTCTGATTAAGAGGAGGCAGAATTCATGAGGTATGCAAATGCTCTACAGTATAAAGACCCTCCTGGATAATGTAATATTACATCACATATTGCCTCGGAAGACACTTCATTTTATGACACCGGTAATCCGGAGTTTAAGTACCAATCTTTCTGAATTGGTATGAAGTAATGTTGGCGCCTGAAACGTGACTTTTGGTTAAAACAAAACTTTGCAGTTTTTTCTTTAAAAGAAAAAAAAGGGCTCTATTGAGGTATGGTATTACATGCCGTAAAACCTGCCCATCGGTAAGTTGTAATTGGACGAGTTACAGTCTGATGAGTTCTAGTGCGTTCACGGAGTTGCACAACCGTCACCACACTCTCACTTTACAAACGTTTCCGCGCCTTAGAGGGACCCCTTGTGCCCACGTGTAGTCACCCCCTCCCTGCTCCCCTTCCAGCTCCCGGCAGCCGCACATCTGCCTGCTGTCTCCACAGGAATTTGCCCCTTCTGAACAGTTCAGAGAAACGGAATCTCACAGCATGTAGACGGGGG